TTGACTCTAACAGACTTTTATAAAAGGACCATCCAAGAGACCAAACTCTTCATTTTTAAAATAAATCAAGTCACTATCAAATACAATCTTAACAACTAGTTTCTGAAATATATTTTAATAATAGTCTATGAAAAACTTGTTAGTTTTTCTTATAACGAAAGGAAAGTACTAAAAACAAATTTAAGGTATATTTTTTAACATAACAATACCAGGTACCATTATCACTTTATAAAACCCTGTTCAAGAGGAGTATTTTTTGAGACTACAACTCTTTAACTATCATAATAACAACATCGTTGACTTTTCTGAGATACTACTTTTAGTCCTAAAAGACCATCTATTATTAAGTCATTTCCCAAATAGTATAACGTCTAAAACCAAGTACACTACATCAAAGCAACAATACTAAAATTACTCAGACAGTAAAAACTTCAGGTATTTCAAGAGTTTTGTTGAAATTAAAATACAAAATAACAAGTATTTAGTTTTCAACACAAACAAAACCCATGGAAAGAATCTTATTTCTTTGTGAAACTAAATTCATCTTTTCTCTAAAACCTTTTTAATAACTAGTATTATTAAACTTGTTGTTTAAGAGAAAAAATATGATGAAGTTCTATTCTTATCTTAACAAGTCTTATTAAAAGAAATAGCAGAATACTAAACAAGTCATAAACAATACTTTAAGAAACCAAAGTGTTTGGTGTCAAATGAAAATCAGACAGCAAAGGCATAACAACAATTGCATTGAGAGAGTACTAGTTCATTTAAGTTACTAACAAAAAATGAAGTCATAAACTAAGAACTTAAAAGGGATTAATAAAACAAAGGTATTGATAGTCAATATGCATAGCATTGAAAAATATAATGACAAGATAAAGTGATTAGGTTTTCACTTTATAGAAGTGTGTTAGAGGTTTTATGACGTGGTATGGTCTGTCATTATGTAACCTCTTTTTTATGATTTTCAAGATAACCCTTTCCATTTAATCAAGTAGAACTTAACATGAATACCAAAACTAAAATTTGTGTAGATTTGATAATTATAGTAATATTAATAGTATCTTTTTATTAATTTTATTTTAAACAAAAATCAAGATTAGTTTTATGAAAACATCAAAATAGAACTTTAAAAGAAAATTAATAAAAAGGTTCTTAATGATATTAACTAAATATTAAAACAAACAAAATTACACTAAATTGAATAAAAAAGAAAAAATGCATCCTTCATTATTAAATAATGTTTTTCTTCTTCTTTTATTTTACTTTTTATTGATTAGAAGATAGAAATAATTAAATCAAATAATATGAAATAGTACTACTCTCTTTTTTTGTTTTCATTTCATCTAATATTAAAAATAGGAATAAAATTCTTGGTTCACTTAATTCAATTAATACTGTCATTACAATTTATTATTTATCAATTCAGAACCAAGTTTATGAAAATTACTTTATTGAGTTGTATTATAACCAACATCTTATTGAATTAATACTAAAC